GTCTTGAAATACCTTGGTATCCCTTACGCTAAAGCTGCGAGATTTGAGGACCCCACCGACCCGGATAGCTGGAATATGACAAGAAATGCTACAGAGTTCCAAAACATGTGTCCACAGCCGTCGATGGATGTCAATTCGCCATTGCAAGGGCTGTCAGACACGAGCGAAGATTGTCTTTTTATCAACGTTTTTGTGCCTGGACAGAATACAGAAAATCTGGCAGTGATGGTGTGGATTCATGGAGGTGCTTATGTTGTTGGAACCGCGGGAACATCATCCTATGATGGAAGTGTTCTAGCCACCGAGGAGGGTGTGATTGTCGTCACGTTCAATTATCGCCTGGGGGCACTTGGCTTCTTGAGTACCGGAAGTGAAGGCGACTTGAAAGGAAATTATGGGATGCAGGATCAGGTGCAAGCTTTGGAGTGGGTGAAAAATAATATCAAAAGGTAATTTGCATTACAGTCAAACTAAGAAAACCGCGAACATCTAAAATATGTCTAGAATGTTCTGACCAATCCCATACGACAGTTAATTTTAAATTAACTCGTTCTTACGAAGCTGAAAACACTAAGCGTTATGAGAAACATTTCATATGCAAAAGCAAAACTTCTGATACAAACTGCAACGCAAGAAAGCTCACAGGAGGCCAAAATGGTAACTGGTGAAACATCTAAAGTCGATGGTTGTAGCATGTAAAATGTATTTACCTATAATCCTGGTCTCAGCTTTGTAGCTTTTCAGACGACTAACTTTATTAAAACGAGTACCATATATCTCTCGTAGGTTTGGTGGCAATCCCAATAACGTCACGATATTTGGGGAATCTGCTGGTGGCATGAGCGTGTCCCTTCTGATGTTGTCCCCTCTGGCAAAGGGACTTTTTAAGAACGTTATTCTACAGAGCGGCGCGGCACCTGCTCTTTATACAGTATTGCTGGATAAAGAGCCTAATGAAAAGGCCGAGTAAGTAGCCTCAAAATAGATCTCTTGAAAATGACCTCAGTGGCGGATCCAGGATTTTAAGAGGGGGGATTCATTTTTGCAAATCTCGGCACAACAATAACGTTCTCTTGCATCATCATTCTTCCCATGAAGCACATCACTGGCCTAGGGGCGCTCCTCATAAGGATAACCTATCCACCAGTGATTTCATATTAAATCTCATGAGTTAGTACCATACTTTTATTTATTTATTTAAAAAAATATAAAATATAAAAAATCCAAGGTACCAGCCGCTGGGTGAGTGGGGGTGGGGGGGGGGGGGGTCATTTGCACCCAATGAACCCCCCCCTAAATCCGCCACAGGACCTAAAGTTTTGTTAGAAGGCTGGACATTAGCATGGTAGCAGCCGAGTGGAGCTAGAAGAGCGGAGAGGAGCGTAATAATGACACTAGTTTCCAGTCTCCCTCCGCATCACAATTCGAACAAGACGACGACCAGCCGTTTCACCGCACTAACTATTAAATTGTGTTACCGTGTCTAGGAATCAAACCCGAGACGCCAGGATGAGAGGCGTGAGTGCGCTATTGATACACCGTACTTGATTACCATCACTAATATATATATATATATATTGTTTATAATTTTTCCCGATATCACACAAGAAAAACAATCAGCATGAGTGAGATTCGCACGGGATATTTATCTTGTATAAACATTCTGCAGGAGGTTTGCCAATGCCCTTGGATGTCCAACCCTGTCAGACCTTAAAAACTGCGCCACGAAAAAAAACATCTCTGAAATTATCACAGCACAATTGAAAGTTAATTCCACCATGCTGCTCGCTCCATTTGCCCCTGTTGTCGATGGAAAATTTTTTGAAAGGTAAGGAAAAAGTAGTTAGTTTTTCGCTTCAAGCGTTCGTTTGCTTGTTAACTCGATTCGTACGTCGACTAAGCTTCCATTTGTTCAGTTTGAGTGTCTGTTTTTTCGTTCGTTCTTTCGTTCGTTTTTTTATTCATTATAATTAAACCGTTTTTCTAAGATYCTCCGCTGAAGATTCTCAGCAAAGGTAGCTATGAAGACCAAGGCAGTGTGATGATTGGCGTTACACGAGACGAAGGCTCACTAGGAGTATTGTACATACCAGGTTAGTATGATTCAGTCTCATCTTTCACACACACATTATGTGGTACGTTGGATTGACATTCAGTGTTAGCAGCAGTGGCTTTGGCTGTTGGTTAACGTTATTAATTAGTGTTATAAGATAACTGTTCTAAATATCGTGTTCTGATTGGTTGGGAGCGCGTGCTTTATGAGAGCACACAGCACGCTCGCGCACTTTCAGTTTCGTCATTCATGTAATTGGTATTTTATGAAAAAAATAAAAAAAAACTTGCTTGCTGTGCCGTGTGGAGTTATAAAGCACTTGGGGATTGGCAGATCACTCAAGAAGTGTCAAGAAGCACTCCGTTACTCGTCGTGCTTCTCTTAAACTTCCTTCGTGTTCTGCTTAGCCTTGTGTATATGTACCTTTTTCATGATTTGATAGAACTCTTTTTCATGCAAAACTCACGGCAGGAACGCGGTCGTGACATGGCAATGTAAATTCAAGTCCAATCACATTGCACAAAAATTTAATTTAATTCTCCATGCAAGTAAATCCCCAAAACATGGCATGAGCACGGCGTAGACACGATCACGCTAATGTCACGGCAGTGCACAGAGCTTGCAAAAACTGCTATAATAAAGGGCAGTGTTTGTGTAACGCACTATCAGTTCGATCACAGATCACATATGAGTAAAAATATCTGGGTCTGTTGTAAAATTTATGGTTTTCTCTGACTGTACAATTTCCTCCATTGGAAGGGTTAATTCGATCTGTGTTTTAGTTGTGCTTTGATTTTGATCAGCCCATAGGTTGCTTGAGGGTACGATCTGTGAGCTGAGTTAGTCATGCACTGATTTACATCAGCCCAGAGGTTGTTTGTCCTATCATTAACCAGATCTGCTTATGAAAACATGTGAGTTACCAGTGCGCTGACATTGATCAGTCAGAGCCGGGTTATTACCGTTTTCCCCCCAGGATTTGAAAAATATATATAATGTTTTCCTGACTAATATTTCAGGGGTGTTAGATGCCATTCCTGGTATTGACAAAGGTCTAAACCACTCAGATTTTGTGGAGAAAGTCAATACAACCACGTGGGTGCGCGGTCAAAACGAGGAGGTATTAAAGAGCATCTTTCAAGAGTATACTAACTGGGCAAACACCGATGACAAAGAGGCCAACAGACAGGGCTATGTGGATGCGTTTGCTGATGCTTTGTTTAAGGCGCCTGCCATTTCATCTGCACAGATATTTAGCAAAAAGGGCATGAAAACATATTTTTACCAGGTACGTGGATACTCAGATATTTGGATGTTAATCTAATGGCATGGTACACACCAAAGCAAGGTGTGCCAGGTTGTATAGGGTGAATAGGGTGAATAGCGCTATACGACAGATAACTCCTTATTAGATGCTGTTATCCAATAAATTTGTCTACTGGATAAGATTTATCCTTCGGATAGCGCAATCCACCCTTCGTACAACCGGCGGGCCCAACTGCATTATGAAAGCAGAGCAGATATCGCGCGATCATTGACGTCACCGGATGTAATGATCACGTCCTGTCGGCGTCGTACCACTTTCTAGCTAATAGAGACCTTATGCCATCAYGTTTACCGCTAACCTCTAGGGATCAGGCCAAGGAAAACGCCAGCAAACACGAAGAAACAACCACTCATAATTAAATTCAATATGGCGGCTCGTCCAGCAACAACGGCGTTATTACGCTTTGTTAAATGTCGAACGTTTGACGCGTAGAGACCTTTGGCAAGACGTTCTTGCTAGCCCGTTAACCTCAAACTACAGTTCGACGTCAGGCGTTTTCCTTCAAATTTTCGACATTTATCAAGGCGTCATAACGAAGTTGTCGTTGGAAGAGTGGCCGTATTAAATTTCATTGATGCCGAGTGTTTCTCCTTGTTTGCGGGCGTTTTTCGTGGCCTAATTCCTAGTGGGTACAGGTTAGCGGTTAGCGCTAAACACGATGCTAAAGGTCTCTAATGTCGTTTTAAATGACTCTAATGTTATAATCGTATGCAACATTATTAAACAACAACAACAACAACAACCAAAAAAAAAAAAAAGGAAATGAAGGTTGATGCTTTGTAATAATCTTTTTTTTTAGATAGAATACGGCTCGGATGTAGGCGCGGATGGCATACCCATCCCAGAGTGGAGAAGAGCTTATCATGGAGCCGATGTTCCTTACGTCTTTGGTCATCCATTATTGAACGTATCGAAGCTAAGGAATAAAAACGACACTGATGTGAAGTTTAGCAGGACAATAATGGGGTATTGGGCTGCCTTTGCTAAAACTGGGTAAGGAATAACAATAAAAGTATAAAGATTTGTTGGTCTATAGATAAACAAAGACGCCCCAGTATGGTCATTAGTAAAAAATACACAGGTGATTATAGAAAATATCGCGCGTTGATTGGTCGAGAAACTCACACTATCACACGATAATCAAATCGAGCGATAATCCAAAATGACGGCCAGCCGCTTTGTTGCTGTTGCCGGAAAAAAAAAGTCTTTTATCTCCATTTTTTTCTCTCTTTTCTTTACTGCTCCATCTAAGTTTTATATAAGTTTTATGTCTTAGATTGCGCTCTTCTTTTGAACAGAATGCCCGACCCATCCTCGGGTCAGAATGCAGTCAAATGGCCTCTTTACACGATGGCCAATCAGCAGTATCTATCCCTGAAGCCTACACCGGAAGCCAAGTCAAACCTGCTAGCCGCTAAAATGAATTTCTGGAACAGCTATTTGGGTACCTTGAAATCTGAGGAAAAGAAGCCTTGTCCAAAAGACTTGACTCAAGAACTGGACGAGAAAGGTATGAAGTAGAAATAACTCTATAGGACATGGGGGTGGGTGGGGAGAGGGGAGATTGCGGTTTGAAAGTATCGGGTAGGCTCGTCGTATCTCTTAGGGGTAAAAATCAGCGATTTAATATCTTTTAGGGTATGAAAATTAAAGAATTTTAAAATTTCGGCATTTCTTGGTATCTTTTAGTGTATCTCTTTTAGGGTATCTTTTATTTCTTAGGGGTACAAATCGTCCAACCACACCTTTTAAAAGGCGTTTTTCCGGCATTTTTAAGGTTATTTTTGACATTTTCCGACGAGCATACACGATACCCCATTTCAGACCACGTGTCATTCTCTTGAGAATATGATTCTTTGTTAAAGCTGTATCCATATTTATTTGCCTGTTTCATGCACAAACATTAAACTGAGTAATCACACGTGGTCTGAAATGACCGAAAGCATTACACCCAAGGTAAAGGGGCCGATTTAGTTGACGACCAGTGTCCTTAAAAGAAACATGGCTTAATTAAATTGTGACTATCTATGAATTACACCTTCTCAAATGCTAACTAAAAACAGTTATAAACTAGTAATTTTTTCAAGGTTGACACGTGGTCTATAAAGTTAGCTATTCTAATTCCAAGGATAAAGAATTCTCGTTCCCAGATGTTTCTCGGTTGTCGTTCCTCCCTGTCAGAGGCTCTGGGAAACCCTACAACCGGAAGCAAGGAATATCGCGACCACGTCCTCACGTCGCATGCTCGAACTCTTTCCAAGACAAGCCAAGACAAAACTTTGGCTTGGCGATATCTACGAATGGCGAACAAAAACATTTATTTGTCTTCCCGCTACCTTCGATTATCCAATCAAAAAGTAGATCTATTGTTCTTCTTAAAAGCCAATCAAATGGCGAGAATTTGTAGGGTTTCCCAGAGCGAGCCTCTGACGGGGAGGAATGACAAACGAGGAGGAATCTGGGAACGAGAATAAGAATAAAGGAAAAAGACTGGCATTGCGGTGCAATTTGCGATTGTTTCAAGGGACGAAGTGGACGCCATCTTGGACATATGTCCCCTAAAACAGTCCCACAATGCACTTCAATGCCAACTCGACCCAGTGTTTTCCTTAACCCCAGAATGGCTAGTTAACCGGAAAGCGGTTTACATAACGTGCTTCCATCCCTTTTTGATTTTTATAGAAAAGTACGTACTTGGTTTGGCGATTGCTGTAGGAGTGCTGGGACTGTTGGTGATAATACTGATCATCGTCGTCATCTGGATGAAAAGGAAATCCAAATCCGCTAATATATCTTGAGAACAGTGGGCGGTCCGCTTCAAGGCTTATGTCAGCTCTACTTTTAAAATAATTTTAAGGAATAATAATGTTATTAATAAGGTTAATACAATAATAAGGTTATTTTTTGTAATACTAAAATAATATGATAATAATATTATTATGATGACTATGGTAATAATAGTAACAATAACATTATGCATAATTATAAGAATAATAATAATAATGCTTATAAAATAATTTATCATTTATCACTAGCTAGAAAAGGGAACTGAAAAAAACAATTATTTTCAGAGTTTCCTTTTAGCTACTGAAAAATGATAAATTATTCTATACATGTTTCCTAGCTTACAAATAAAATTTCATCAATAATAACGTTATTAATATCAATGCTTGTAATATTATTGATAAAAAGTAATGATAGTAAATAGCTGAGGTTATTTACCGGCTATGAGGTCAGGAGGGCACTGTTTGTCCATATCCGAACCGAATTAAAGGCTGTAAATAACTTATTCATTTTCCCCCAGTTACTTTTCCACTTGTTTCGCAATTTATCTTTTTTTTTTGTTTTGTTTTCGTCTTGTTTTTTGTTTTTGGTTTTTGTTTTTTGCTTGGCAATCTGTTTTCCCCTTTGCTTGCGCGTGGCTGGCGTAAGTAACGAGGATATCGGCCCACGGTCAGAGAAAATACCGATGCAATAGCCAGCCAGAAAGCATGATTTATAGGAAACTCGGTACCAAAATCAATAAACAAAGTCCTCAGCCATTGATTGGGTTTCGCGTACAAGGCTTTTGAATTTTGGTCCACTCTATTTTTGCTCCAAACTAATTTTACTACACCATTTTAAATACCATATAATTGTCCTGCAAATATCTTTGCAGGGTCGATACACTAATATCAGACGTGCCAGTAATTACTTGATGTCTTGGCATGCATCCTAGCACAGTTACAAAATCAATATTAATAAGAACAGATACTTAATAACTGATCATTAACATGGGGCTTGCCAAAGAATTAGAACAAGGCAGGAAAGAAGCAAACACCTTGAGCTTATGCTAATGACAAACAATACTATCTATTTTTACCCTCCACATAATTTAGTTCAGGGAAAAGTTCAGTTATTCATAAGATTTGCGTGACTGTTGTCGGTCACTCGGTCACTCGGTCACTCGGTCACTCGGTCACTCGGTCACTCGGTCACTCGGTCACT